CTTTCTTTTTTGAAGATCAAAGAACAATGAAGTTATTCATGCGCAGCTCAATTACAGACGGCCAAGTCTCTCAGATGTAGCCAATCCCACGGTCCTGATGTTCATGCGCAGAAGTCAAATAGACATCTCGGGTCCAGTGGATAAGGGGATGTTTCTAGGAGGGAAGTAGGGAAAAAAAAGGGAAATAATCACGGTTTCAGTGAGAAAGAGCTGAACATAAAAGGAAAATAACAAGTGACATGTCGAGATATGTTGAGCAGATATCTATTCTTGCATCTGTCATTAAAAGACGGTGGACAAAATGACACAAACACCCTGCAGTGAAAAGCAGTGCAAGCAACAACACAAACCAAATTGAGCGTGAAAGGGCGTTTTTGCCTTTGAATCAGTAGTTTGACGACAAGATGTCAGATCAAGGTCCACTCACTGGCTTTTTTTCTCGAGCTTTTGACAACATCTCACACCCACCCTTATCAGATAGCAGCCACAGAGGTGAATGACCAGATGCTGTCCTCAGGATAAGCTTTACAAAAGGGGGCATATTGCATGGCTACTGTACCGGATTGCATAACATACAACAAGTGTCACATGTTGTCTGCCTCATGTAGCCACTGAAGCACCTCTTGGGCACTTATCATGCTCATCCTGTTATGAAACGGATTTTCTTTTTTTGAGAGATAAAGAAAATACATCGCAGGAGGAATGAAACACCGAAACGAGAATTTCTCTGTCGCTCCGCCTGGATCCCACCCATGGGCACAGATGATGCCGATCTCGGGTGGGATGGGCGGCCTCAGACGGCTGTTGGGCTCCTGGAAGCAGGAGATGGCTGCTGCCTGTAGAATACACAGATTCGACTCTCTGTTGCTCCTCTCTGGCCTGTTTACTCTTCACACCTGAGCAGGCAGACAAATACACCTGCAGTGCTGCCACAGAACTCTCTCTATTAATATTTCATTTTTCCTGCTGCTGACTGAGGAGCTTATGCAAGGAGTGAAAAAAGAAAACAGCATCAGGTCTCCCGAGACGTTTGCCTGTGTGCGCGTTTGCCTGTGTGCGCCGAGCTGGTACAGCACTAGAAGTACCAGCCTTTGGCTAAAGTGGGCTCGGCTGGCAGGGTGAGAAACAAAAAGGGAGGTTCATAAGGGTCTCTGATTCTCCATCTGTTAACTTGCCTCAGATAAAGGACGGCATGTTAGTTACAGCGCCAGCCGAGCAATAATTGAAGGTGTAGCACTTTCTGTTGTTGGCTCAGTGTCACCTCTATCCACCACAAACATTACTCAGCACAATCAGTCCCATTTAAGCACGGGATATCCCAGGACTGCGTCGCTGCCAAAGGACGTGCTGTATTCCAATTGCCCTTTCCTCCCCTTGTAGCGTACCAACACACAAGTGAAGCTACATTCTAGTATGTAAAATATGTATTTCCTGAATATTAGAAACAGAAACAGGACTTGAGAAAAACAACCTCAATGCAAAGTCCAATTAGTCCTTCAGAAAATAAATAAAAATAACTTCACTTGTCAACGTCTGCTGGAAATGTTTTTCAACTGTAACCCAATTTGAAAAGTCATAAAGAGTCATAAAGACAGCAAATCAACTAATTTCAGTTAAACACTGTGGACTTTGCTATTGCTGACATCAGCAACAGAAAGCTACTAGTTCTACACTTCTAACTCAGGCAATCACAACAAAAGCATGCAGTGCAGTGGTATAAATAGAGGATTTTATTGCATAAAATATTTAATTCTCATTTGTACTCTGAAGGCTGTTAAGCAACTAACAAATGTTGCATGCTCAGACAAAATGGAAATCTGAATATCTATAATTTCATAACTCTATGCGCTGATGGACCATTAGGTGATATGATCAGAACATCTAGAACCACTAGGAGCATGTGGTGCGATTGTTTCCTAATTTACAGGATTGAACTAATTCTGGCATCAGTTTGCAGATATAACCGAATGGGACATTTGATTATTTTAGTCAGCCATTCATATTGTATACCTCACCATGCGTTAGTTATGCATTATTATTGCTAAAAAAGCCATTAATAATAATTATTCACTATTTTGTGTTATGGACTCATTCTGTGCAGAAAATCCTGCAGCGCGTTGGCAAAGTGAGACGTGCTGTCAGAACTTGAATAAAAAGCCTTTGTGGTAAATTTCGCATCAAGTAAGAAACCCCAATGATTACATTACATAATGTAAACCGCGCCATGGTCCTGCTGGAGCTTGCATTTCAAATAACAAATAAACCACATGAATCATAGCAGCGGAAATGGAGTTGGAAGCCGACATGAGCAGCGCTGAGTCAATCAATGTGCAATACTCACACAGTTCATTGTTAACACCCTTGACACGAAGTCATTAGTGATCTACAGTGCAAGGACATGACACATGCTTGACATTTATATCAAACAACACATCACATCACACCGACTGCTCCTTTTTTTCGACATCTGCCCACATTAAAACACCCTCGCACAGCCAATCTCTCACCCTCTCCGGCAGCTGAAACCACAGTTCGCACGCGTTACCGTCTCCGCTGCAGATCAGCGGCCGTTCGTCGGGTCCTGCGGGAGGCGAAGGAGGCCATGCATGTATGTTTGACCAGTCCAGGGAGTGTAAAGCAGTTGCTAAATCTCTGTAAGCAGGCCCTGGCACTGCTTCCCAATTGCCTGCCTGCTGCGAGGGGCATGGGCCCAGAGGGGACTAATCCCTTGGCAAGGCCCTGGGTCACACATGTTGATGTGTATGTCTGTGTGTGTGTGTCTGTGTGTGTGTGAGTGTGTCCGTGCGTGCGAGTGTGCATGCATGCAGAAGGCCCAAGCTGCAGGATGAAGATGAGCCCTGGCGCCAGACTCAGAAAGCCCTGTCTGATAACCTGCAACCCTCTTCCATGCTTAACTAGCAGCCTTCACACAGAGTCTTGGATGCTCCTCAGAGATGAGGGGAAATGTTTGTTTTTTTTGGAGCTCTGCCTCGAACTGTACCGTCAGGAACAGCTCTGATCTTACATAACCCCGGTCTGCGAGAGATTGCGTCGGAGTGTGAGCCCTTTGACCTTAGCATTCTGCTCGAGTTTTTTTCCCCCGCTTAAGTGGGGAGTGTAAGAGCTGACGCGCGGTTTCAGGCTCGTCAACCTGTTGTGTGTAGACGGACAGTTAAGGTGACCCACAGCAGGCCTGCAGCCAGCTTCTGCACTGCACCTTCACAAGTATCCCAACACACACCTGTGCTGTGTGTAGTTGTAAGTCCTCACTGTGCTGAAGTGTTAAAGGAATAGTTAGATTTTGGTAATATAAAATATATATATATATTTTTTTCTCTCTTGCTGAGAATTAGAAATAAAGATGTCTGCCAAAAGCACCTCTAAAAACCACTAAAAACACACTATATAAATATATATAAACACCCAGAAATTGTCCATCACATGTAATTTGTATACTTTTCGAGGATTATGTAAATTCAATTTAGAGGTGTTGGTAGGCAGATTTTGTTAGCTTCAAACAGAGCTGAGCTAGCCGTTTCCCCCTTTTTACAGTCTTTATGCTAAGCTAAACTTACTCCTGAATATAGTTTTCTATTTAAAGCTACAGACACAAGATAAATCATCTCATCCAACACTTTGCAACTAAAGCGAATAAGTGTATTTCCCAACATATGGAACAATTTCTTTAAAAAGTTATTTTCAGTGGGAACTATGAAACTTTAGTAATGATTAGCGACTTTATAGTTCCAGTCTAAGAATACAGCTAATGACAGGCGATCTGCATTAGCAAACAGTAGCGCTTTTCTTACCAACACCTCTGAAAAATGTCCCTTTCAAACAAATGAGAATCTCCGTTTTATGTGTTGCTCAGGAAAACACGAAACAAGAAACAAGAGATAAAACGGGTAGTATCTCGGGAAAAGCTCGTCTGTTTGTGGTACATTTTCCGTGCCACGGCATCAAATTTGCGTATACCTGCGGCTACTTATATCAAAGCATATCGTTCTTTCGCTCGCTGCTCTCTCCAGAGAACATGCACTTTGGAGTCCAGGGAACACAACTGTCCAATTATTTCCTGTAACACAAAGTCACAGCTCCGGGGCGATATAGCTAACACCAGATAATAGGTGAGCAGACACACCTGAGCAGTCCTGACTCGGCCTGTTGGGGGGGGGGGGCATCAAACTCTAACTATGGGGTGAGTGAAGGCTAAATCCAGCTGCCCTGTACACAAGCTATTAAGATTCAAAGAAGACTGAGCCTGTTTTTTCACATTAATGCTCATCGCACAAACATAATCCCCCCGACACACACACACACACACACACACACACACACACACACACACACACACACACACACACACACACACACACACACACACACACACACACACCTATCAATTGTGGATGTTTGCCATGATCACTGATTAACTAATTAGGTTACGTTCATTCTCCATTACATTATTCATTTCCAGTAGGCGCAGGTCTAACAGAGCTGTTTGTGTGAAGCAATTTTCAGAAGGACAAAACTTGCTAAAAAAAAAGACCACAGGCAATGACACATTTTTTAATGTTTCTAAATTTGAAGGTGGGGCATGATAACCTCAATTATTCAGCATGATGCCATAATAAGGACATCAGGCGGCTTTGGAGGCCCCGGCGATGTGTTCGGGGGCCCACAAGAGATATTGGCTTATTTGGATTCTCAAGCAGTGGTGTTATATCTGTAGTTTGGGGCAGCGGGGCATGACACACCTCAGGGCTCTCCGGACCGCTGGTTTGGGAGGGGGGTGTTTTCACTGGTGGTTTGCATACGCATCCGTCAGGAAAGTTAGGGAACCTCGGCCTCGTTGAGGGTGATAGCAGCAGCAGCTGTGGGCAGACTGAGCTGATTGTCCTCTCTAATCAGCACTGAGGAGGAATTCGTGTGGAGGGGGGGGGGAGGAGAGGGGAGGGAGGCGCCCCGAGCGAGGGCGAGCTGCGCGGCTGCCGCGGCCGAATTCAACAATTAACCTTGATGAACGCAGATTGCTTCCACTTAACCGGCGCAGGTGCGCGGAGTTGGCGACACGGCGCAGCTGAGCGAGTCCACGTTGATGCGCGCCGCGGTGACGCATCTCGTGCCCAACACACAAACTACACGCAGAAAGGATATTGTTGCAGCTGAAAGGGGTGTGTGTGTGTGTGTGTTTTTTTTCTTCTTCTTCTTCTTTTCCCCTCGTCACGGGACAGGATACACGTTGTAAAGGGAGCCCCGTCCAATATTCATCCTCGCGCAGAATCCGAACGCAGAAGCGTCGCTGAACCGAGACCCTTGTCGGCATTTGACCGCGGCGTCATTGGACGGCAGTCTCGGTCCCAGCAGCTTTAGAGGCATCTTCTGAACGGCGGAGACGAGGATAAAAAAAAAAAAACCCTGCACACTTTGCTACTCTCCATCTGCGCCCCGAGCAGCCTGAAATGAGGACCACGACCCGGCTGTGTTTCGCGTGAAGAGGTAAAGCGGGGTGGGTGGGTCGGTCGGAGGGGGGAGCGGCAGTTTTTTTTTTTTTCTTTCGGCTTTCAAGGACGCAAAGAAGTGGCCGCCGGCGGGGCTCCGGAAGCATGGAGCGGGACGACACCGACACCGGGAGCGCGTCCAAAAAGACCATCGTTTCGAAGATCTTCAAAGTTCGCAAGAGGAGGGAGATGCTTTTCGTGCAGGTGTGCTTCGTCTGCAGTGTCCTCTTCGTGGCGTGGAGCATGTCCGCGCTGTTGACCAAAACAGGTGAGTGGGAATGAAGAGAGCGTGCGTGTTGTGTGTGTGTGTGTGTGTGGGGGGGGCGATTAGCCCGCTGAGATGCACCGGGGGGCACGGGGAGTTCTGGTCGGCGCGGATCTGCAGTGGCGCCATGCACCCACACGCACGCATGGACACTTCGGGTTAGTTTTAATTTCAGAGCATCGAGCACGCGCATATAGGCCTTGGCGCTCATGTCAAGGGCAGGGGGATCCAAGCAGTTTGTCTGTCTCATGTTGTTGCCCCCCCCCCCCCCCCCCCCTCTCCCCCAAAACCAAAAAAATGGGTGGGCGAAACCTTTGGGTTTTTACCCATCGCTGTCAAGTGTCCGTGTGTCTCCCATTTAATGTGCAGTGAACAGTCCAGAATGCGTTCGGGGTAGAAACAAAGTCCCCTGCAGTTGATCGTCAGGTATGCGTTTGTTTTTTTTCCCCCGCTGTTGGATACACGCGTCTCGTGGTCCGTGTATGCCGCAGTGTGCGCGCGGTGGTAGCGGCACGTTTTTAATTTGAGAGCGGAGGCTCATACTCGCGGCACACGCGCACATGCACACCGCGATCAAGGAAGCAATCCCAGTCTGTGCTTTTTTTTTGGGGGGGGGGGGGCAGGCAGGCAGGCATATCGTCAGTCGCACGACACTGGCACTTGTGATGGTGGTTAGTGCTGGCATCATTGCGTCTGGGCCGGGGCCTCGCGCACACTGGACCTTCTCTCCCCCCCCCTCCCTCAATCACGCTCGAGCATTATCACGCCGCACGGTTCCGCGTGGCCATCGAGGGATCCGGATTTTACGCAGGGACACGCGTTTGCGTGCGTCCTAGCCCGATGCCCGACGTGTGCGCCGCCGAGCAGACTCCTCGGATGGCTGATCATGCGTGTGTTATATATATTTATATTTCCACCAAGCGGTCGCTCTAACACACGCAACGCACACATGTCCCAACTCTTACCTCGGGCCCGTACAAAAACCACACGCACAGCGTCCTGCACAGCCTCGCATGCAGTTATGTAATCAGAACGAGCAACCATGACATTTTGCTGGTGAGTGATATCTGTCAGATACACCACTTTGCTCAGAGGTTAACTAGACATCCCCCCCCAACAGCCCACCGCCACCCGCCATACCTCCCCAAGCACTGCTGTTCATGGGACGGTAATGGTGAGACAAAAGATGCAGACATGAATTTTGCTGCTTGTGTAAACCAGCAGATATTGAGTAAGGGGGGGGGGGGGGGGGTTAGGATTAAAAAAAAGAGAGAGTGCTTCGGACCCTAAACCTTGGCCCCCCCTGACCGTGTCATGGGATCAGTCCATCTGCAACCACTTAGGCCCCGGAGCTGGAAGCGGCTGTAAATTCACCCAAACTAGTGCCCGACTGCAGATCTTACTGATGTAGCGGAGTTTTTATTAATTACATTAAAAACAACAAGAGGCTTAAAAGATTATTCTGAATGATATCATGCAGGCGAGGGCAAATCTCTCATCTCAAAGGAAGGCACAGGGAGCCAAAGTAAGCCCCCCTCTGTCACTAATGGCTTGCCTATTTTATTTCATTTAATCACGTTCCCCTGACCCACACAACGATTGTCATGTGGGAGTATTTGACAGAAGGCTTCTTTTGTTTTTACTTCCCTCGCCATTTGACAAGAGGCAGCAATGATGGTGTGCGACTTCGAGATGACATGCAAGAGAAATGTTCGACAAGAGACCCCAAATCCCCTCTACCACAAGACCCAAAGCTCGCCGTAGTCGGATCTGTATTTGAATAGCTGTGGCCTTTCATCTTCCATCCATCACAAGGAGTTTCATGTCGCAGTGAAACCTGTGCCATGTGTTTGCCACCCGTTTGATTGATAGTAGTGTGTGTGGGTGATGTGCCAAAGGGTCCAGATGGATGGGATTTGATGTACTACTCCTGGTTTACATCTCCATGAAAGAGGGGTGTGGCGCTATGCTGATGGGGCTGCGTGTGATGGACCAGGGAATTTCGAGAATTTCAGTCATTTATTCATTTCGATTTATGCTTTCCCATTTTTGAATTAAAGTAGGAGGAACATTTTCTTTTAAAAAAAAACATTCCCGTTCGGTATCCTTGTACTCTCAATGCACATGCAATCTGCGTGTTGACTTTCCTTTTAAAACTGAGATGGCGAGGTTACCATGGCATTGTTCGTACCTGTGCTACAGCTGTAAACCTAGTGATGGAGAAAACGGATGACCTCGTTTTAACAGTCAAGCAACAGGTCAATGGTCATCGTTTTCTTTATTGGTGCATTGCACACAGTCTCCAATTAAGATGCCTGCCTTTTGCAGTGTTTCAGGAGCAGTTGACAAACAAAATGGTGAACAAAACCAAATCTGAAAGTGGGCATTGCAGACTTGGTTCCCCAATCTTTGGGCATTCTGGCTGTTAAGATTCCCAGCGAGGTGTTAACTTCCCTTGATGAGCGACGGAGCTTCAGAACTCCTTTTCACTCTTGTAAAAGCATGTTGGACATTTTGAGGTAGTGGCAGGTCTTGTTTCACAAACTACTACACTTTTGTCCAGCTAATCCAGACTACATTATCAGTCTTAAATCCGTATCCGAATGATAAAATTGGCATGTGTCTCAGCCGACTCATCAAATCTTATCCAACTTTATTTTCGACATTACTTAAATGGTGATTCTGTGATTTCTTTGCATCAAATTCCCCTGAAAATCCAAGCCAATTAATTCAGTGAGTCATGCCCATGAACAGCCACCCGGCCTGTGCTGACAGAATGGCTTTTTAAATTTTTTTTTTTATTGAGATGCTAGACGGGAAGCACGCATTGCACTGAACCAGCCATGTCATCGTGAGACATCATGCGGTCGTCATCCAGGCAACGGCACAGAATCGTGACCATAAGATTTTATACTTGTGGTCAAGTGATTCTACATAACTGCTTGGATGAATTGCTTCTAGATGGCCTGTCACACTAACTTCCCCCCCAAACATGCAAACCGACCACTGTGTCCAAATGTGAAGAGGCCCATGCGCCACATGACTCTTGATCACTTTGTCATACTCCACAATCATATCTCGGCACGTGTTTGCGGCCCCTTCCCCATGCCTCAAAACGGACAATGCTTCATCTGGGCCGGTTGGCGAAGGGGGGGCTGGATTGGTGGATTTTTTTGGGGGGATGTTTGAACAGAGGGAAGCCGCTGCCGTTGCCTCGTGTGCCGTTTGTCCAGCGCCTGCTGATGGACAGGTTGTCCCGACTGTACCAGATTAAAAGCCATTTAATGAAGCCTGTTGTGTTAGCGCGCTAAAAAAAAGGCCCCGTGGTCCAGGTAGACTGGTTACAAACTTTAAGAGGATGGTTGAGTTTATTTAAACATTTTTTTTTTTTGCTCTGACCATCAGTATCTTTTAGCTTTTGCTTGATCACTGTCCTCAGTCATTTCAAATTTGACGGCAACCTGCAATAAGTAGGGACTGTTTGTACATTAACACCAGGGCTAAAATGGTTAATTGATCGCCAGAAAATGAATCTGCAGTTGTTTGTTTGGGGCACAATAACAAGACAGTTTTATAGAATAACCATTTAATCTAGAAAATAATCGGATCAATTTACACCGCAAATTACCGACCTATAAACCGATGCATCTGCAATAAACAAATATTGATGAATTTATTGGTCTAGCTTTATTTTCACATTTGAGCGTTCTAATCCATCAAAGGAAGTCGTTGCATTTCAGTAACGACCGTCACTGCCACAACGTCTTTGCCGGAGCTTCTTGGCCTCTGAGGGGAGAAGAAACATTCACATGTTCGGGGAGACCTTTACAAACCGATCATGTGAGCCCACTGCGTCAGTGTCTTCACGACATTGTGTAACCGGCAAACCAGACGGAGCTAATCTACAACTAACAACTTGAACATGAACACACACAACCACATCTGTCCTCTGGGTATTCCCCAGGGATCTGCTCATTATCCAGAAGCTGGTAGTACAGTGAAATTGTATTTCAGCAGGTTACCGTAAACATTGTTTGTGTGGTAACATTTCATGTGGACTTGAGTGAGTTTTAAAACGTTGGCGATTTCCCATGATTTGGGTCTTGCAGTTTTCATGTCGTCATTACGGAGGCTTAAGAGCAATTTCATTAAAAATAAACGGTTCGCTCCTCCTCCCCACCCTAAAACATAATGGCACAGCAGCTGCATGTTGTGTTATTAATGCCGCCGGATGCAAATGTCATATCTACCTAAAATACAACTTAACGGATTAAAGAAAAGCCACCTTATTAAAACATACTTTTGTGTAAAAGCAGCCATGTTGATGCCTTTTTTTACAAAATGGAGATTTTAAGGTTTCTCTGGCAGAAAAAGGCTGTTAAACATGCCATGAGCTCTAGTCTAATCACACCACAAGTTTAATTCCGGTCATACATGTTGAAAGATGAGCAAAGTTATTTCTGTCTTCTGCAGGCCACGGGATGATCGTGGAGGGACATGCGGACGTTGAACACTGGGGAAGACGGCTAATGGCTTCGGCACCAGACAATGTCACGGAGGAGAAGAACTGCTCGGAGCCAGGTATGCCATTAGAGATGCACTAATCAGGTCACGCCGCCCTGCAGCTTTGCTCACGCACCTCCTCCAGAGCGCCTGGACGTCTTGTAGTGCATCCTCTTTGCGCGTCGTTACACGCTACCTGCTCGCCACTAAATGGCAGACAAAGTTGGTGAACCTACTGGAGCATTTAAGGGCCCCTCAGGATATATTCTATACATTTTTTATAAGATTTGATCTTTTTGCATCAGCTCAGAATGCAGAAATGAAGGCGCACGGCATGACTAATGGCGCCCGGGTCATTGGGTACACTGTACTTGAATATGGGTACGCATTGTTCCAGGATAGTTGCTGCACTAATTGGGCCTCTATTTTTCCGACTGAGTTTAGAACACTTGATCTGCAATATGCACCTCAAGGGTCATTTATTGATGATTTTACAGAGTCTCTGGTACAGTTAAAGGAAGCGTCTTTCTCTGCAACTAGTTATGCCGACGGCTATGACATTTCCATCAGGCAACAAAAAGCATTAAGGTGGTGGAGATGTAGCAGGCGCAATAGTGTGCCCTGTCAATTAAATTGTGTTTTTTACAACCGCTTCAGTTGACCTTTCTGTGATTTAAGAGCGAACTCCTTGACAATTATTTTGCCACAGAAGGTTCATCTCAATGTTCTGGATTGGTTTGACTATTTGTGTTCGGCTAGCCGGCAGAAGAGGACCCCAAGTGACTCCGTAAGGAGTAAGTGGCTCTGACTTCATTATTGGTCACGCAGGCATCGTCCCTCACAGGCTAGTAGTCCATTTAGTCAATGGAGCCGTGAGCTGCCATTTTTATATGTAGACAATTTTTGCACTACATTTGAACTATCCAGTAACTTTGTAGACTATTTGAATATCCCTGTTTGGGCCTGTGGAAATTAACACCAAATGACAATATTGTGTGCTTAAATTCTCCTCGTAATCCTTCAGGATTAGCTTTTTAAAAAATGTTTATGAAGTCTTCTGCGCTAGACTTAACTTCACATTCCACACATTTCTCACCCGCTCTAGACCTCCTTCCTCTGAGCCCACCCCTGCTCTGCCGCGCCACTGTGAGCCGATCATATGACTTTGTTCTTGGGTCATGGTTTTGTGAATAATCCGGTTGTAGTCATCGATTTCTGGCACCTCAGATGACCAGTTTCAATAAGTTTGCCACTTGTGGGCAGTAAGTGTATCTGTTTGTAACTGAGCAAGGATGGACGTTTCTCACGTCATTCATTTAGACATTGAAGACAAATTCTCCTAAATTAATGACTTATCTGGACGATGCCAGCTATACAAAATATTTGTTCCTAACTTAAGATATGCGCAGAAGAAATTGTTCGTTGTCTATCCAGACCTGCTGATCCAGCAGTGGACGATGGCACTTGTGTGCCGTGAATGGACCTCTGCTCAATGAGTATTATTGGAGGAGTTTCTTTTATGAGTGTAACTGTTTAAGCTCCTGTTTGTGGGCTGCATAGATCACACTCTGCCAGCTTTGGTCTCCCTGCCTCTTCCCATCGTTATTTGTGATCATCGAGGGACTCTTTTCATGGTTAATGGGGTGCTAATGTTATTTTGCTATCCTAAAACGTGCTTCTGAGGCAGCTGTTCATCACTTATGCTTCTTAAAACATTTTTTACATTTTTATTGGCTTTAGTTACAAAAAACATGAGGTGTTAATGCAGTTTTTGTTACGCTCCTGCTTGATGTCAGTAGATACTTGCAAACTACAAAGGGCTGATGCAACCTCTGGATTCTCTTAATAATGAGAGAAATTCCTATGATTAATTTAAAACGTGCACTTTTTCACCCAAGAATCACCAGTCTCAAGTAACTCTTTGGAAAAAAATAATCTCCGTTTCAGCTCAAGGCTGGACAATGATTGTGTTATCCTGTTTTTTACTTTTTACTCTGACATGGAAAATTAGATTATTCTCCCCAATGGGAGGCCGGCGGATGCAAACTGTGGATCAAATAAAATTGGAGGGGGGGGGGGTAATTTTGTGTGGGAGGAATAATTTGCTTTTATTAAAGATGCTGCCTATGCCATTTTAAAACACCCCCTTAAAAGGCCATATTGGCTTGTTAAAAGTGAACGACCACAACCGCGGCGCAAGTAGAAGTGAACAGCAAGGCAAATGTTCTAGTATGGCCGGTGTCAGGATCTCAGATCCCCCCCAGAGTTGGTTGATGAGAAGGATCGCAGCACGTTGATCAATTCAAGTCAAAAGTTAACATTTATTTAGAAGAGAAAAAGATTACATGAGCAATTCTCCGCAGATATCTGGCTCTAACTATTGCTTGCAAGCAGGAGGTCCAACAAACCAGCACGTATCTCAGCGCTCGGCGTAATGGCGTCTCCGAGCAGTTTTATACACATGTGAAGGACATTCTCCGTGCCAGTTACGAGAAGCTGCAAAGCAGGTTGAGATAAGAACCCAGGTGAAGCTGAGGGACACACACACACACACACACACGCACACACACGATCCTCCTCAGTGGCCGGTGCAAATCATAATTAATTGACATAAAGTTAAAACATGGATCCGGAACTTTCGTACCTGGCTTCAGCACAAAACAATGTTATAATATATTTTACCAGTACATGCATCTCACACCGGGTTTGTACAGTAAAATAATCCACAGGGATTTGATCCGTAGTCGTTTTTAGATATGGCTCTAATCCTCGCATGGGTTGGGGTGGGGGTGCATGTTGCATTTTTGGTCAGAAAGTTGGGTGGGTGAGGAGGAACTGTGGCCCAAAGCGGAGCTGGAAATGCTCGCTGTGTTATGGTGTAAACTTCTGTTGCTTAGTAGAGTGACTTCTGCTGCCGGTCAAAAGAGAAGTCTGGATTTTATGCAAACAAGGGGAATGTTGTATGCAGTTTATTTTCCTTGGGGGGGGGGGGGCAGGATCTGTGGTGGCAACGTAAGGGGGAGACTCTGCCACCGGGAGGCAGCCAGCGGTACATGTTGGAGTGCGCACTCATCAAATCCAGGGAATCACCAGAAGGAGGCTTTTTAGAAGGGAATTACACCGGCGGGGATTATGCTGCTGCGCATAATGGAAACTGACCTCGCATTGCTTCTCGCTCGCACACAAACGGTGGAACAATGCCGGGAGGGGCCTCGCAGGCCCGATGCACCTGCACCGGCACGCTTTCCACGCTGCCCAGTTGAAACGCGGCCGACGTGTTCATGCATTCTGACCGAGCTGTTCTGCTTCGGACTTGCAGCCTCCATATGTCTGTTCTGCTTTTGGCTGGTACTTAAAATCCCTGGAAAGGGACATCGGGTTCAAAGGCGCGTCTTTGTCGTTACTCTGTTGCTGATCCATACTTCACCCCCCCCCCCCGAGGGAGCCGTTGTTTAATTACTGGATCCCCATTAGCTGAAGCCCTATGAGCCCGCTAAACGATCCGTTGGCCACGGGGATGGCGCTGTGGGACCGTTTCCCCTGGCCCCTTTCGGGTAAATGTACCCAGTGTCTTCTGGTCCCACCACATGGCCTTTCTCAGCAGCCTGACCGCTTCCTGTCACATAACTGGCTGAGGGGATTTCATGCTAAATGTGGAGGTGCAATATGTTCATGCAGGCAAAATTGCATGTGAGGGCAGCTGTACATGTTTAAGTATTAACTTAACAAGAGGATAAACGTGAGAGTGTGTTGTAGGTTAACCGGAGCCCCTGTGCGCTTAAGAAGTTGTCGTTGTGTGACAGGTTTTCCAGTTAAGCTGCTCCCTGACGCGGTCCTGTTTACAAGGATGGCTGAGGTCTGTTACGTTTGAGTCATGCTCTCCACTGATGTCATCTGGAGTAAGCTAATTATCTAATAACTAAGACTCCGGGTGATTCATTCTCCTGCTCTGTCTTCTGTACCGGGGTGTCAACTGTATTAGTTAATGACTTGGCAGGTCGGCGGCAGAAGTTGCCACGAGGCCTTCTGCCAAAACATCATGCTTGCATTATAATTTTATTTGGCTTTTTTTTCTATTTTCCCATATGTACTTTATGGCTCCATCTCAGTGCGTTAGCTGTGTTTTGGTAGGGATTCTCTTCCCCTTCTACCTCTGGGACAACAGACTGTACCCGATACTGAGCTCTATTATGTAACGGCAGCATAATATCTGGAATATTACCAGATTATGGATTAATAATTGCGCAAATGTAAAGAATGGCTGTCACGCTCTGGCTTTAATACGCCAATAAATGGTTATCCGAGCAGAGATTTTGTAAATGCAGAGGCACTTGTACTTGTAGACCTGTACTATTTGTTTCACTTGACATTTTAAAATGCATTCAGTTCTAAAAAACTGAACCGTACTCAGTAAAGCAGTGCAACAAATCCAAGGAGGTGCAACGCTTGTCGGTCGAAAACGTCAGAACACACGTTGGCTCATTATTTATTATTATTATAATTATATAAATATAACAGTCCACCCTTAAAGAAGTGATTGCAGCGCTGTGTCTTCAAAACCTCCCAACGCTGGTTGCCAGTAATTTCTTGCGTAAGCGTCCCAGTCCGTTGTCCAGAGAATCCAGGGTTTATTTATAGATTTTGTAGCGCAGCCACTAAACAGGACCAGTGTTTTTTCTTTTTCACCCCCTACCTGTCAGTACAGACGTCTCCTCGCTCTCGTTTCCGCCCAAACAGACTGCAGCCACAAGAACGGCACCAAAGAGAATGCTCTTTGATTTAGTCCCCTACTTTTTTTAAAATTTCTTTCAGAACACCTTCCATTCCTCTGTGCCATCTTAAGCACATTTACCCCCCCCTCGAGAAATTGTGACTATTTACTGCTTTTCTTTATATGCTTATATGCTTTTAATGTAATATTTTACAGGGTTTTAAGTCATCACAAATGACTGAGATAAATAAGGAATCCTAAAAAATGATAAACCATACGAAATCAGGAGGTCATACTCAATAGAAAACACATTTATGTCCAGAAGTCATAATTGGAGAAATCTTTATGGTCCTCAACACTGATCACATAATAAAGACATTTCAGTAAAAATGAATTCTAGTTCAACTGAGCTACATATTATTTAATGTTCTATTCATGGGCCCTCATTTCTGTTTTTCCCCACTCGGTGGGAACGTCCTGTCCTTGTGTGGGGAGAAACGGCTGTGGAGGCATGTCCATGTCCGGGTTGACCCTTACACTGACAACCCTGTAGACGCGATCTGCCTGCTGCCTGCGTGTTTACAGGGACGGGGAGGTGACCCCAGTCTCTGCCGTCCGTTTTTTTTTTGGTGATCACCCATTTTTAACACAGCCAGACTTGTGTGCGCACGGAGGCAACAAGCTTTACTGTAACCAAAGAACACGGATGGTCATGACATTTAATTATTGATTAATGGCAGACCTGTAGGTTTGCCATCTAAAGATGGAAGCAGGCAGTGAAAGAGCAGCAGGAAATCCAAACCTGATACTTTTATGTTTTTCGGAAGCGTCAGACAACCTTCAGGTGGTGGAGTAATGTTTGATGGTGGGTGTTTGTTCATGAGCGAATAAAAGGACTTTAGCGTACTGTATCTGCATCAGTTTTTCAGTCCCCTCTGAGGCCACAGCTGACATATCCTGTAATTTATTACGCCCGCGCTTGAGGGCCGCGGCTTTCCGACACGTTTCTTTCAACCACATAAACTTGTCTGAAGTTAAACGAGCCAAAGCCGACGGCGAGTCTGTTACCGTCGGCTCCCGATGTCCGCCAGGTGTTTTCCAGCTTCTCGTTGTATTAAAGGTCAAAGACCTTTTACTATTTTGATCTCTAATCTGTTCTGTCATGAGGGAAGTCTTGGTGCTGCAATGAGATACCGAAACGCCATCAAGGCGGCATCAAAACGGCCTTGATGCAAAATGCACGAGCGGGTCTGTAACGACGTGATGGAAACGTGAGAAATACCGGCGTGCCGTAAAGTGAAATGAATCCGTTGTGTGGCCTTTGAGCAAATACTGTCGTGTCTGATTTTTGCCTGTGCGGTGTTCCAAATGCTGCCGATTCAGTCATGCGTGCACGCAACGTGTCAAACGGGCAACGGTGAGGATGGGACAGATGCAGCGGGAAGTCTCAGGTGAGCACTGTTCCACTTCACGAATCCATGTGTGACAAGAGCCAGAGCTAGTCTTGTATTGCAGCAAAGCATTGGTGCCACAATAAAGCATTTTATTGTTTCAATGTTGATAGAAAGGTCCACCATTATGGATCCAGACCTAAATCTCAACAAAATGACAAACTCAAAAAACCCCTTAAACTTTAACAGATAAACTAATGCTAATCTCGATGCCAAAGTACCGCCTCACCTGCTCTTTATATTGATACGACATCAGGCTCTTACATCGGTTTTCTTCCATGAATGGGTATGATGCCGAGTGGAATGAGATGCTGCAGAATTGATTTTTCTTTTTTGAAGATATTCACAGGCCGCTATTAAATTTGCATTTGAAGCGCTCGGGCTGCGATACCCCATGTTTATGTATACGAGACACTTTTGCTGTTTTAAGTGTGAATGAGTCGGGATGCACTGATGGTAACCATGACGACCGGAGGCCCACTCTTCTGGAGAGACCCCCACAGTGAAGTCATGTGGTCCCCTCTGGCTGGGTCGGTGACGTGTACCTCGCTCTACTGCCGCATCACCGTGGTGACCATGACGTTTTTCTCCTCCCTCTCTCTCCTCAGCAATACGAGAGTTCCCCAATGACTTTTTCACCAATGATGAGCGTAAGAGCGGGGCCGTTCTGCTCCACATCGCAGCGGTAAGGGGACCTTTTTTCTTTTTTTTTTTTTTTTCTTCTCTCAAAGCTCCTGCACCTGCATTTCCCATCACATCTGTCCCCAGTCAACACTCTCAGTAGAGCTCAGCTGGAGGAGGATTTAGAAGCTTTTTACTGACTAATTTCTTGTTGTCAGCTTCTTAATGCCGGGAAGGTAAGGTTGTAGTCGCCGCATATTAGCATCTTTTGCTAAGCCAGATTGCAAAGATGCCACGTGAGAGCTTTTTAGCGCTTGAATGAGTTTACACACAAATCGGAGATGTGAAGTCAAACACATATTTGAGGAAAACATAAATGAGTGGATGGAGTATAGTAGTGCTTTGAACAGGCACGTTCAACGTGTTCTCTGTAATGCAGATGGGGGCGGAGGAAGGCCATGGATAGCAACAAAAGCTCTTGGAATAGCCAAGTAATGACAAATCAATCTCCTGATTAAAGCCAAAGCTCAACCACATCGGACAGGGTGTATAATACGGCATATAAATGAGGCCAATCGCCACAACAATGTAGAACATGATTTAAATTAAACCCAATAACCATGCAGTGTTTTGAATTCGCATTGGAACAACTACAAGACGTCTTATTTACCAATTCTGTGTCATAAATCCATGTGTCTTAAAGCAGAGCTTTAACTCAGCAGTGCGTAGATGGATTCATCAGCACGATGTCTCAGCACGATGAGGTTGGAAGTTATTTTAGGTGTAATTTTAGGAATGATACATTCCTTAGAACAATGCCAAGTCCATGATGAGCACAAGTATTTATGAATGCTTGTACTTCCGCAAGAACGAGCTGCTTCTCTAGTTCATAGTCATGTTGAGCCCAACTGACTTGGTTCTGAAGTATTATTCATCAAGAGGAATGCGATTCATGACGGATTTAACTGGCTTTAAAGCTTCGCTTTAGTCAAGTCTGGGCTCTAGGATTTGATAAATACTGAAGTCATGAGGCTCCTGCCATAATTCTGACCAGAAACCAATTTTAATTGGGACATGACTGGAAATGCTTGACTGGAGACGATGAGACTTTAAATAATGTATTGTTTTGTTGGATATAAGGATTGGATCGCATTCTTTAATGTCTGTCTTGAAGTGATAGTCGAAAATTCCCTCTATCTTTTTCGCTTTGCCTCTGCTACAGTTCAGCAAGACGGCACAGGGAATTTTATACTAGAAAGACTGAGGATGATTTGAAGATGCAGACCGGATTCATACAACGCCAACTAGAAACTTATGAAATTATGAGCGGCGCCAGTTTGCGCAGAGGTGTGAGCGCTGTGGTACTTTGCCCCCATGGCACGGTTAAGCACTTCTCACCACCCAGATTACATTAGTGCAGCGATCCCCGCCTACGAGGACACTTCAGAGAGTGGCAGCTCATCTCCTCTCTTGTCCTTAATGAAGGCATTATCATGAACACTCATCGGGTCTCGTTTGGTTTCACTTGTACGGGTTTGAGAATGAATGGGGACGCTTATGTTCATGCCAGGGCCGAGGTGTGAGAGACGTATGCTGGACGGCGTGTACATGTCTCAAACTGGATGCCCCCCGCACTGAAGAGTAACTTCTAAATGTCCTTGCTTCACTGCTGAGAGGAATGGAACACAATGTGTGCGTGGGAGGGAGGGAGGGAGGGAGTGGTGGTGGTGGGGGGGTCGGAGCGTGCTGCAGTCCTGCACTGCCCCCTGTGGATAGCATAGAGCAGAGCAGAGCAGAGCACCGCCGCCGAGGCCGTGATGTCACAGCTGATCTATAATTTATAGATCTCTCTTCAGCTACTGAGATGTGCTGCCACCCCTCCGCTCTCGTATCCATCCGGGCGGATCCTGTTGATGTTTTCAAATTGCAACAGAACGGCTTGTTGCTGAATCGACTTTTGAATTTAATGCAGGCAAAATTATTATTGGATGCTGTGCTTCAAAATTCCCCTTCACCCGTCCTTTAGCTGGGGAAAGTCTTGCTTTGCCCAGTCTCTCTTTCCATTTCCATTTTCTGCTGATTAAGGATTTATCTACACAGGGACTGTGCACGCTGTCTTGCCCTTGACGCGCACCTGCTTCCCACGTGATGCTACTGTTTCTGTCTGCAGGCGCTCTACATGTTTCTTGCCCTCGCCATAACATGCGATGAATACTTTGTCACATCGCTGGAGAAGATCTGTGAGGTACTTGGGAGTCGCACGCTTTGATTTGTCCACGTCGTCCCGAAACGAGTGTTTTCCGCGTGTAAACGACACGTCTTTGCTTTGCTTCTGCAGAAACTTGATCTGAGTGAAGATGTTGCAGGAGCCACCTTCATGGCAGCTGGCAGCTCTGCACCAGAGCTTTTTGCTTCAGTCATTGGTAGTGACACACACACACACACACCTACAGTATGTGTGTACACAGACATCTCCAGATGGTTGGTGTCACCGCTGGTTGTGATTGGCTGCCTCTCCACGTGTGCAGGTGTCTTCATCACCCACGGAGATGTGGGGGTGGGGACCATCGTTGGCTCGGCGGTCTTCAACATCCTTTGCATCATTGGTGTCTGTGGAATCTTTGCAGGACAGGTATGTGTGTGTGTGTGTGTGAGACACATAATGACTAACGGCTCTGGGTGAATCTGTGTTTATAGATTGGAGAGCAGCCATTTCCTTCACTTGGCTCACAAAAAATGTTTGGAGCAGAAATGGAGAATTAAACTCCGGATGTATAAATGGATCATGAATCGATGCTCCTGTCAAGTGAAAAATACATCTGCATTTTGTGGGTTGAGATAGATGGAAACCCAAATACACACTGATGTGACATGAGTCCTTTTTTTCAATCAGGTGGTGATTTTGACCTGGTGGGCAGTTTTCAGGGATTCCTTCTACTATATCCTCTCTGTTTTGGCTTTAATTGCAGTAAGTCGTATCATTTGCATGTGCATTCTTTTTTAAGCATTTTATTTATGGCTGCTTCTAATATATAATTTTTATTTTTACAGTTCATCTATGATGGGAAAATAGATTGGTAAGTAATTCCTCCAGCTTGGCTTTAAATGTCTATTTTGGAAGATTAAAAACAAAAAAAAAAATGATACAAGCTTGATTTATAAGAAACCAGGTTTGGTCACTTCTTCAAGCTGCTACAGCTTTACTTGGTCTGCTTTTGCCGAGAGTTTGTTGGAATGCTAACTAGCCTTGATAATGATTGTTGCAGCTAACTTTACCAATTCAGACTTAATGTTACACAATAATTTAGTTGGTTTGGTTTAATTAAGAGCAAATTGTCTTCATCCTGTATCTTTTTTTTTTTATCCTCACCAGGTGGGAGAGTTTGATACTGGTGGTCATGTATGCCGGATACATCCTTGTCATGAAGTGAGTTCTGCACACGTTTCAGCCGCTCACACTAAAGCTGACCGATGACGCGTTCCCACATCCACCCGCGTGTCTCGTTCACCCTGTAACCTTTCTGCTCGTGTGAGCAAACTGTTTGCACAAAACATCAGCCGCGGCACATCTGTGTCTTTTACAGTCCGAACCGCGTAATGAGCACCGCGCGTTGTCCTGCGTCTCTGTCCAGCTGGTGACCTGTGTTCCGCTCGGCGGCAGCCGGCTCTCCCCCTGCCATGAGGGTTTAATCTTTGTCCCTCTGCAGTGGCTAAGAGCACGGGCTTAGCCGGATCACTCCTCTGCTTTCTCGTTCGGAGGGAAGAAAAGCGCTTACTGTGTGTGCAGTCACACGTCTGCCCTCGCCCAAAAATATCCGCTGACCACTTTGGGCTCTTCCTGTCCAAAGGGTGTAATGTGGGTTTCATATAGCTCGAGCACCGAGGTGACCTTCCAGGGCTTGGCTGCGAATTTATTTATTTCTCAAATAGCACACATGCCAATTGTGAGAACTAATGTCAAGTTAATGCTTTAAAATATAAAGATGAGCATTTGTTTTGGGATATCCTTAGTCAAGAGGGACTTTGAATGCTTCAATCTTGGTTTGTGATTCTGTGTCTAGGTACGGTTTTAGGATGGCTTGCTCGCTCTCTTTGGTTAAATACAAATTCTAAGCTCTGCACATGATTTTACACTTTGCCAGTGCTGCGCTTCATCAATCTCTTGATTTCAGACGAGGTTACACTCTGTATAAAGAGATGGAGTTAATATAACAACTTTGAATTATTTACTGCAAAAACCATTTTGGTTTGCATATTAGCCTTTGAAGATGCAACCTCTGAAAGGGTTAGAGTTGTTCTTGTGATGTCTCACTGTTACTTTGCACACATTTGGTTCAAAGGCAGCAGAAGTGAGTATTCGTTCATCCTTTTTTATGTTCTGCCGCTCAAATGGTATCCTGAAGGCCCTTGTTGTGTATGTGTGAAAGCCTCCCCGTTTCGCTCTTAACCAGCATATTTCAGTCACCTCTCATACAGTTTATGCTGATGCAGTTTTTAGAAAGTAGGCCGCTTTAGCTAAATTCATTCTATAGAAGCACAGATGGTAAACAGGTTATTTTGGCTAATGATGCATAATGTACATTTCAAAGAATTCGGAGCCTTTCATCTGAAGCTCATCAGCGCTATTCACAAATGTGAATGTTGAACCTCGATCTCATTTTAATTCTTTGCCTTTTTGGGACTGTGGGATGAGTGATTTCCGTATCTCTAATTCAGGGATTATGTTCCATCTGGTTGCTAGATTCAACACCAGCATGCAGAGATTTTTCATGGGGTCGAAGTCGAAAAAGAACGTGGCGAACGGTAACGCTGCGGCCAGCAGCGAGATGGAGGACGGTAATACTAGTTATGACTATGTTTGGGATGACGACCCGTCATTGCCTTTAATCTCGCCAGGTAAGGTTAATCAGACAGGCCGGGAACCAAAGCTTTTTGCTTTTAATGGAGATGTTTAAACAATTTAGCTTTAGCTTCTCTGAAGAACTGTGGATGTTTCCTTCTATTAGATGGGATTGGCTTTAACCTCTTTCTGCTGAACTAACTTTAGTTTGTCGTCTTCTATTGTATTCTGCTGAAATACACACATAGGAATAGTTCAACATTTTGGGAAATATTGTGATTTACTTACTTGCCCGACAGTTGGACGTGAACATTGTGCGGATGCTGGCTTTACATTTGGCAGACGGGCGTGAGTGGTTTTGATCTCCACTCTCTGCAGGACCACAAATAAACAAGTCTCCCAAATGTTGAACTATTCGTTGAAACAAGATTCTGCAGAATAGCTTCACGAAATTCTTCAAAGGTCAAGAAAACCTCAGTCCGACGTCACAAACTGCATTGCCTGAAGAGATGGCGTGTTTGACTACGTGGATTTTCTCTGCCTGCCAAGTTCTCTTCTTTGAGAAGCTACTAAAGCTTATCTGAGCAGACAAGGGGGCACAGAAGGAAATGTTCTTGCTTAATGAAGCTATTGTCGTCTTTCTGTAATGCAGTTTAATGTCAGGGGACTTTGGCTTGGCTTTTTAAACTTTCTTTGGAAAAAATACATTTTGAAAAGTTGTAAATAAATGCCACATTTGTGCAAGATTCCCCTGTAAAAGCAGTTCTTCACTAATTGCTTTCCTGCATTTGAGTCTTTATAGCCGAGTCTAATCTGTGGCATTTAACCCTTTTTGGCTGCACTGGTCTTAACATGCCTGTCTGTTTAGCCTTACTAAACTTATTCTTGCTTACTGTCAACAGCGTTGTGCTGCTGTGTCCAATTCTTTCTGCTTGCATACTGCTTTCCTCCGCCGGTCTCTGCTGAAGTGGTAATGGATTTCACAAGAGTAAAATGTTTATGCCCGGTCTGTTTACACAGTTAATTTATGTGCATCCTTGCATTCAAATTGATGCAAAGTTAAACTAATAAGTGTACTTTCAGAACTTTTTTTTCCCCCTTGCCCTCCATCATAAATCTGAAAGAATCCCAATAACACATTTAAAGATGTGCATTTTTGTCGGTAATTGACTGACGTGGACTGGCTGCGTGTTAACTTGTTGGACACCTGTGCAACCATTTGAGATGATTTTAAAGAAAATCAAAAGCGGTCAGGTTGCGTCTTGCATATCATTTTGAAATCAACCATAAATATTCACAACTTTTGGGCCACTTCAAAGCTGCACCAGGCAATTTGTGAGCGCTGTTTGATGTTCGGTACCCAGAAGTCATGTTAACTCAGCTGGTGTGTGATGTTTAATCCCGGTGGGTGGGGGAGGGATCCCAATGGTTTTAAACTCTTATTTGCTGTGTGATATGAGGAAAGCGTAAAAGAAGGAAGAAATCATTTGGGACCGTTGATCTGCTAATCCGGCAAGACGGGATGGTTTTAAAGTAGGCCCATAAAAACGGAATTGGCTCAAGCCCAAAAGTGTTTGTTTAAAAAAAGAAATGTTTTGTTTTCATATATAGATGAGTGTATGTGCTGCGTCCTGGTAATATATATGCTGGGTTATGTAGCCTTGACAAGTAAATCTTTTCCACGTCGGTCATGTAAACTTTTTTTGCCGTTTCAGATCAACTGAATGATTAATAGTTTGTTTTAGGCTTCGTCTCACTTCCCTCATTAGTGTTGAGACAACTTGCAACCTTGAAGATGCACCAACATCCATTTCCAGCTCACTCGGTAAAAAATGAGGGAATTACACAATTTAAAGAGCTTTTGGAAAACACCCCGACTTGCAAACAAGATTAACATTCTTCGATGGATGTTGCTGCTCTATAGCTTTGATTTGTGTACATATAAAACTGCCCACATTGTGATTTAGGGTAATGGGAATGGTGTGTGTTGACGCACAACTCTTGCCTGGTGCAGCTTAAGGCCCGACACGGTGACAAAGTAGCCCTGGTTGAGTGTTCATTAAAATTCCTCCGTAACGTGGACCGGAAAACTGGCGCGTCAGACTGTAGATGTTTATATTGTAGAGCTCATCTCTCTATGGCTCTTAATTTGTAATTGGTCTTAAGGAGGCTTCATTTTTCTAATCTGTTCATTGTCAGGAAGCGCAAAGTACATGCACTTACATTAAAGAGTTCATAAAAACGCAGTGCTCTTTATTGATGTGATGCACAGAAGATTGATTGATTTTTAAGTTTTGTATAATTGCATCATGTTCCTCCCAAACCTCAGTCAAGCCCACCAAAGCTTACAGCCGTGGCTCGGTGGTGATGGTGGATGAGATCATGAACGCCAGCCCTTCAAAGTACAGGTTCCCAGAGGCCGGCCTCCGCGTCATGGTCACCAGCCACTTTGGACCCAAGACCCGTTTGCGCATGGCCAGTCGCCTCATCATTACAGAGGTACAGCGCCGGCAGTGTTGCCCCCTAAAGAGGATTTGTTGATGTTGAGTGTTCTGCAGTTTTATCTTCAAAATAGCCCCTTTGACTTAGTTAATTTTTTTTTCTGAAAGCGCCAGAAGTTGGTCCAGGCAGCGAATGGAGTCGAGACACAGGTGATTGACGGGAAGGTTGAAATTGAGAATGGAAACGTGCCCGAGGACAAACCCAGCGACGAGCCGGAGAACGAAACTATTTCACCGTTTCATATTCCAAGTATGTAATTTGTGTTTTACGTGATTAATGATTCTAGTTCAGCAGACTTTGATGGATTCTTTAGTGTGTAAAAGCTACATAATGTCCTTTTTTGATGGATCTTTGACATATTAGATGTATGCAAAGCAAGTTAATGTGTTGTGTGAAATTCTGTTATTTTCTTACATTAACTTTAGAAAGCTGCTGGAAGGAATAGATTTACATAATCAAAGCAGGAAAACCACATTTGATTTTCATGTGAAGTTTAGTATGAAATGCCTTTTTTATTTTTTGGTAACTTGAATTTATATTGTACTTGTGGGCAATGAACTTTCCTTCCACACCACTAAAGGGCATGAGAATAATCTCCTGTACCAACATGTGTTCCTCCTGCAGATGGTATTGGCAGCAAGTTGAAGTGGCTGATCTCGTGGCCTCTGCTCCTGCTGCTGTTCTTCACCATCCCGAACAGTGGCAAGCCTCGCTGGGAGAGATTCTTCATGTTGTCCTTCCTCCTGTCCACTCTCTGGATCGCCGTCTTCTCCTACTTCATGGTCTGGATGGTGAGTGTAAAAGCAAGAACAAATTTTCAGAGTGAGGCGATTCCCAGGGTGCACCACTTCATCACAATCATTGGCTTTTTAGGGTTACAGATTGCATGAGCCGTATATTTGTGGATTCAACAGGGTTAGGTTAACGGTTATATTAAAATATTTGCAGTTACATTTTTCTGTCGCTTACAAACATAAACTACTATTCATGAACTCAAACGTTTTTTTAATCTCAGGTGACTGTAATCGGCTACACTCTGGGAATTCCAGATGTCATCATGGGCATCACTTTCCTGGCAGCAGGCACCAGCGTTCCAGACTGCATAGCCAGCCTCATCGTGGCTCGGCAAGGTAGAGCGCCGCCTCAATGCTTCATCATTGGTGCATTTATTAAATGGCGCGGTTGAGAGCGCGATGGTGGTATCCCCGTGCCACGCTTTCTACATCGTTAGTCCTCCAGCATCTTTGTGGCCAGAATGCTTTCTGGGATATTCCTTGTCTTAAGGTGATAGAACATGGATAACTTTGTCAACATTTAAGTTCTCTGTATTGTAAGCAAATGTAGTTCAGATGGCATGATTGTGCATGTCAGCCGTACTTGAGCCGTACTACGGTTTTTTGTTAAGCTTTTAAAATGTGTCATTTGCTACATGCAAATAAGAGTTGAACAAGTTAGAACTAAGCACAGAAACAAGAGGAAATACATCTGTGCTGCCCTGCGACCGCTGAATAAGGTTGTGGCCCTTGAGTATCTCAAAGTACAGAAAAGCAGGAACTTTTGCTAAAAATGGTTAACTCAACCCAAGCGCTCACATACTTTCTTAAAATTACCTTTTTTTTAATTTTTTTTTCCCGTTCCTCTAAATGGCTGTTTGGTTTTGTTGCAGGTTTGGGAGACATGGCCGTGTCCAACACTATTGGCAGTAACGTATTTGATATTCTCGTGGGACTGGGGCTCCCTTGGGCGATACAAACCATGTGCGTCAGCTACGGATCGGAGGTAAGGAACTTGTCTACTTGACAAGTAACCTGTCAGGTTTCTGCATCGGCGCGTGTTTGCATGAGAGGCCGAGGTCCGCTACCTGACTGTTGAGAGGCTGCGGAGCTGCAGGGGAATTGTTGTGGTCTTGTGCGTTGCAGGTGATGATCAACAGTCGCGGCCTGGTTTACTCTGTGGTGCTTTTGCTGGGCTCCGTGGCCCTCACGGTGAGCATCACTTTGTTTTATATTGCAGTGGTCCCAAATTGTCATGTCAACAAAAACACTATATTTGACCGTAATGTATGTATTTGACAGACTATTGATGCTCAATAGCCTTTTTTAAAAAGAATGTATCCGATTTTCAGACCAGAACTATGAATCCTAATTAACCTCAACTTTACGGCATCAAACATGGATTTTTACTTATATAAAAAAAACACATTTGAGTTTTAATCTTTTAAAATATTTGAATCAATGTCACTTTGCCCTTGCTTTTTTTTATTTTTTATAACCGTTCAAACAAATGAGCCAGTCACAGAAATTCTCAACCAACAGAATAATGAACCCACTGCTTTAACCAAAATGTGGATTGCAGTTTTACAATGGGATTTGCATAATCTGTTATTTCGGGTCAAGGTGCATTCAAGCATTGACTTAATCTCTTAACTCAAACCACTGCATTAAAGATGTCATTTGGAACATGTGTGATCCAGGCCCCTCTGATGTATTTGTATGTGTGCAGGTGCTGGGGATCCACCTGAACAAATGGAGGCTGGACGTGAAGCTGGGCATCTACGTCCTGGTGTTGTACGCCATCTTCCTCTGCTTCTCCGTCATGATAGAGTACAACGTCTTCACCTTTGTCAACTTGCCCATGTGCATGGAGGACTAGTTTCCAGCAGCATGTCTCCGATACCAAAACTTCAACAGTCTCATAGCAATCTTTTTTTTTTTTTTCTTTCTAAAACTGGACCTATTTGCAGACTTTTTTTCTCCTCTCTTGCAGTTCTTTTGGTCCCAAATCTGAATCTCATTTCCTTAAGAGGCAGTAAGAGTGGACTTAATGTCTCTAATTTTTCCTCTTGTCACACAGTGCCGGTCCTTGATTCTAATTATTTCAGGCCTTGCCTGTTATTGCAGTAAACTCTTTAGTTATTCTGTGCGCCTGTTCACTTTCTACCCATCTAGCATGCCTTTTTTAGATGTTGGGGACCTCCAGAATCATAAGTGCCCCCTGTTGATTGTTGGTGTTTTCAAAATTGTAGAACCCCACTCCATTTCCAAAGCCTGAGTCTGACTGGGGGTAAAAAGAAAAAGAAGAAAAAATTCCAACCAAAACCCCCACATAATGAACTTGCCATGAAGTCACGCTTGAAAGAATTCGTTACCCCAGCGCCCCAAAGAAAGCAGTACATCCCCCCCCCCCCCCGCTGGACCCAATGGAGGAGGGCTTTGTCCTTGGCAGCTCCCCTCCTCCAGTCTGGACCCCACGCCCCTAGCATGGCCTTTGGCATGAGGGTGCAGACACTGCTCACTTCCCACGTGCTCCCCCTCACCTGCTTGATCAATTCTGTTGTGTTTTTCATAGAAAAACAAAAAAAAGGAACCAAAAAAAAAGGAAAAAAAGACATCCGGACACTTTGTGTGGCGTTGTTTCGCCGTCCCGATCAGATGACTGTGAGGGTGTTATGCATATGCAGCACTGCACAATGTAAACGTGTAAACACCTTTTTTTTTCAAACCAGGGTTTTGTCTAGTGTGAAATACAGAGGAGAGCTTGTTGCAAATGTAGGACATTGCCTGTTTTTTTGTTTTCCACTGGAAGAAGGTGCACATGGAAATGCTTTGAGCTTTAAGGCGGGTTTGACCACTCCGAGGGGTATTGGACTGCTGGTGGGGGGGGGGACTCCACGCCAGCATTATTTTCTGGTTCAGTCTACTTTTTTCCCTCTGCACAACTTCAGTCTGGATACATAATTTTTCTGTCATCAGGTGACTTGTCATCTTTAGACAGCAGCAGCACGTAGATGGCTGTTTTGGAGGAAATGCAAAGACACCGGACGCTTCTCAACGCTGTCTGCTATAACACCCCCCCCTGGCCAGTAGGGGGCAACGCAGCCCCTCCACCCAGGGCTGGGGGTGCCAACCCCAGCCGGCGGTTATCAGGGAAACTCATAGATGGACAAATCCAGCAGATGGCGATGGTCTCTTGATTTTGAGTTACATGTAGATATTGCACTTTAACAGCAGTCCTCTCATTCTGAATCAACTAGTGCTTCCTTCTGTGCGTGTGTGTATTTTCAGTGTATATGTGACTGACTGAGTGAGTGAGCGAGAGAGCAATTGTGCGCGTGTTTGTTTGTGGAGGCGTGTGCTCCGTATGGGCCCACGCCGCATTTTCCGACACCAGACTCTTCAACTCTTGAACCGATTGGAACCTTGTTGACACCATGAGCACACCCGCCTGTCTGCAGCGCATGCAGGGACATTAAATGCAGCTGCTCCACCACACCGCAAAAAGGCTGAGGGCTTCTGGGCGTCTCCATTGGGAATAAAAACGGCCCGACCCACTTTACAAAAATCGGCAGCTACGAGCTACACTGCAATCCAGACATTTTGACATCATGCAAAAAAAAAAAAATGGCTGAGCACACCACCACCAAGTGAGGTGCACGGTCAAAAGAGAGGCTCATGTGGAGTGTTTTAAGTGTGGAGAGATATCCCTCCGCCCTGCGGTGGCCGGCAGGCACATGTATATGCAAGCTCAATTTAAAGAATTCTATGTGACCGAAGGCCCCTGCAAGGCTGCCATATAACGACGGGGATCCTGTGGAGATGTGACGTCGGTTTGTCTCGTGGTACTTGATGTGTGAGCTCACAGGTGTGTTTGTGACAGCCAGAGAACTGAGACCAAATGGTAGACGGTGAATGGTGGCTTTGAGGAAAGTGCTGAATCCCCCTCGCCCCCTCCTGGCCCTATTTCTCCACTCTGGTCCCCACTTGCACAAGGGCATTAACTCCGCCAACCCTAGCTGAGGGAGGAAGGAATGGACGGCTTGCCTCCACTGCCCTGGGGCCGTTGATTTTTTTTTTTTTTTTTTTTTTTTTTTTTTTCCCCCAAAGGAGTTGGATGAGCGCAGACATTAAGGAGGACTTGAAGGTCAGGAGGTGACCACACAGGGCCTACAGACTCTCCCACATACACACTGACCCTTTGTACATCTCCATTATTCCCCCCCCAAATCCGTTTCAGTGAGTCTTCTGTACTGCAAGTGAGTTGATTCAGAATGTGCAGAGTTGAGGTTTAATTTATTTTTGTATATATCTTTTGTTGCTCTGTGTGGTCACGCCCCGGTTGCCATATTTGAGGAGGGGTAAACAGCAGGGGAATAAACTGCGCTCGTTTTGTCATGACATTTGCCGGTTGTCTAACCTGCATCTTTGTTAGCTAGTCACACTTTTTGAGGGGAGGAGGAGGAGGAGGGGAAATAGTTGAAAAACAGATGCCATACTTGTCATTACTGTGCATAAATCCAGATTGTATGAAAATCCTGTGTACAAAAAAAGCGCACATACTTTAAAACACACACTTTAGAAATGGCAATTGAACACAAGAGAGGACCGGTATGTATTTCTTGATTGAATGCGACCTGATGCACTGTGAGCTCAATGTGATGTGGGAGTTGTTTGTCAAGAATAATACATGATTAAAAATATATTTAATGTAAAGTTAGTTACTATAAAGCATTACCGAGGACATCTGTAACTTATATGAATGTATTGTCTTGCTATACTGGACATATCCAACCAATGCATTTTATTGTAAAGCAATAATGTGAAGAAAAAATAAAATGTCAAATGTATGTACATTTGTCTTCAAAGTTCTTTGTTTGAGAAATTTAAGCTAGTGCATGTTTCAACGCTTTATTTTTAAAAGGGAACCTTTTGATAGAATATTTAAATCTGAGTTGTACATAATGTATTCACAGCTGAAATGACTAAATACTCAAATTTTATCTAACTGTTTGGTCACATTTTCTGCGTAATTAATAGTTCCTTAAATTGTGTTTGCAGGAGTATTTTTTTTTTACCTAAAAATGTTCTTAATTCCTTGTCTAACAGTCCTGCATATGGCAGCAAGGCCCATGCATCCCATAGGTCAACCTCAGAACGGTCTGGAAAAGCTGTAGAGTATATTACACATGACCTACAAATTAAACGACATACAAGGCAAAACCTTAAAATTGTAGTTCTAAAACATTTGATGTGTGTTGGTAAATCTTTCCCCACACAAATTTCAGACCATACAATGAAGGAAAAAGTTTTCTCTCTAACCTATTGTAATTTATGACCAAGTCGTATCACCGGGAAACTGCAGCTATGCTGACGCGAGACTAAATGAAATGATGTAGCTTTCAGTTTTGATCAGAGTGCTTTAAAATGTGTACGGTTTTCATGGTGAAATCTGTTCCATGTACAGCTTTTACACCAGCAGAGATCGATGATGGATTAGATGATTTTCAGGAAAATTAGTTAATGTCCTTGCAGAAACTCTTTATGAAAGGATGCAATCCTGCTTGCATTTTTTTTTTTCATGCTTTCCTTTTCTGTATAATTTTTCAATTAAAGTTCCAGCATCTTTCAATTACTTTCATAAAGGAACTATTGGTCAAAGGCTTGAATTAATACATAGTTGAAGAAATAACTGGTTGAAACCTTCCTCAAAATTAAGTCCCACTTATGAATTAGCTGTTGCCAATTCATTCATAACAACTTGTATTTCTCCCCGAGTGAATGAATAATGTATTGATCCTTGCAGGAAACTTGCCTTGTGTGATGATCAAGTGAAGCGCGCCGACAGGGTGAAACAATTGGGTCTTTTTTGTGGCAGCAGGCATGTGAAGAGTCCATCGAGTGATGGGAAGATGGAGGTTTTGATTGCGTCTTGCCCTCAATAATCTAGCTATGTTTTGCTTTTAGCACCAACAGGGGGCAGTGCTGCAACAGGATTCATTTCCCAGTGTCAGACTTTGTAGTGGCTCAGTATAAAATGAAAATGGAGGTTGTTTTCCCAAGTGAATAAGACTGGCACTCCGTGATGAAGTATCCGTGATTCAAGTATCAAAATGCGCTAAAGTCAAACCCTGACTGGAATGAATGTGTTCCATGTGACTCCCTGCACATAAAACATGCCGTGCACCATTTGTTAATGATGAATGTCCACATCCTTCATCAGCCAGCAGACAGTCTGACATCTGGTGGGACCAGCGTGACTTGAGCGAGCTACTGGTGCTCCTCCGTAATGACCCCCCGGACCCTCTACCCCCCCGGCTATCGTGCTGCAGTTAACAAGCTTCCCTGTGAGCCGTGATCTTTTGCAGTGATGAGCTCTTTCTCTGCACCCTAACAAGGCGGTTTTGGGCAGCTGCAGCGTGTCTCTGGTGTACGCCGGCTTAGTTCCCCTCCACCGTTTGTTGGGCCACGTTAAGAGACGAGGCACACTCATCCCGGCCTCCACGCACACTGCACACTGCACCCCCCCCCCCTGCAGTTATACAGTTTGGGGACATTTTCTTTCCTTGTTTGTGCCTTGCCAGTATTTTTCTGACTCTGCTGTTTGGGTAAATTGCTCTGCTGCAGTGATGGATGATGAACAAACTGGGTTGCTGCTGCTCGCCGCGGTCCCCCGTGAAGGCGTCCTGTGCTGCAGAACACAAGGTTTTGTGGGACGCCCGTGTTTTCTTAACTACTGGTTTGTTTGGCTTTCTATGGTGAACTCTGACTGCTTCTGTGTTAACGAGTTAGTTGAAATGACTATGCAAATATTTACAGTATTTGTATTTATCCATGCAGGTTTCAACATATTGTCTCATATATTTCTGCCACAAATTTCTATAAATCCACTGACCTCACTGAATATTTATTTTTCATCACTTATTCGTGAACATTTTGTTAAAAGTCACACTCATTTCAGACAAAACACCTGTTTCACGTTCCCTTTTAGGCGGCAATATGATGAACTTTTCTCAACAAACTTTAAAAAAAGAATTAAGACAAACTGAATAATGATGAGGATGACAGGAGGAAGATGACATTTTACCACCATGCCCGCTCAGCCTTTATGCTTATCTGTTTATGGCAGTGCCCCCCACCCTCCCCCCTCCTTTGTGCATTGTGGCTCAGTGATTAATCCATTCGCCCCACACGGGACACTCGAAGATAACTCAATACTTTCTTATCTCGGTATGTATGAATATTAAGTAGTCGTCCCCGGTGAAGGTAATCGTGTGCAATGGAGACTGATATTGATAAGACCCTCCTGGAACAATCAGGTGATGGTGAGTCATGCAATGTTTCTTTTAATCAAAGTTATGGTCAGGATGGTGGGCCATAAATCACAGAGTGCTGTGGACCTTTTTCAGGCACAGACATCTGTCATCACAAAAACAAGTTGTGTTGGAGAGAGTCAAGGGTTTGCATTTATTGAAGCCTGAAATATAGATTCACACTCAAAATCGAATCAAAAATTAAAACAGTCAAATTAATTCTGTTACGGTGCCTGGTATTCAGCGCGTGTGTATTATGCATTTTTTCTTCATTTTTAGTTAATTTGTTTTGGAATATGTCTGTATGGCAAAGAATATTCAGTATTAAATCAATATATATCACTAGTCCTTTTTCGTTTCATCAGATTCTGCTCACACACGTATACACCCCCCCTTCACACTCATACAGGTGTTTGTAATTAATGTTACTCCTGCTGATTCACTCCTATGCAGGTGGAGCAACTGTGCACAGCGAGTTTGTGAGTTAGTTTAAAGCTGAATTAAATATAAACTAAGAAAGAGGTGTGGAAAATGGTGTTAATGGAAATATTAAAGTCTACAAAACCGATCAGAAATCCTGGGAAAAAGATGCTTCTTGTAATCTGGGAACTTGCCTAGAGGAAGAAGACTTATTCCTTTTTAAATTATAACTGCGAATCCACAGAAATATGTCAATCATAGAAAAAAATAAGGAAACAAAATAGAGACAAGACTCCCGTAATGAGACTTCTACTGCATCTGGTGCTATGCTAATGTAAAAATACAAATCAAGATGGCAGTTATAGGTAGAATAGCAATTTCTGTATACTTCTAATGGCGCTTATTTGACAAATTATAGACAAACTATGCCTTTGTGAAGAACAGATCTTGTGTTGATTACAACTAACCCACTGACACCATAACTACACTGTTTGACGTTGGATCTCTTGGAAACCCGGCCTGAAGTAAGAATACAGTGCGTTTACAGCTATTAGTGCAGTTGAAGGTTTATGTGGCCAATAAAACCACAATGGCGTGAGACATTTACTTACTTGTGTTAAAGATGAGAGAGCAACTAAATGGACAAAAGCCTGCAAGTTAGCAAATGCAAAGGGGGTCGAGCGAGTCTTTAAATCTGGACAAATGGATTCCTCATCTGATTGTTTCTGATTCAATTTAGCTGAGACTAAGTGCTTCAGGAAGTCATAGAGACAGAGAGAGAGAAAAAAAAAGTGCCTTTTGCCGAGACATCACATATGGAGAGAGCGCAATTACGCTGCTGGTGATTTATGAATGAAGTCTCTCGCTCTCAGAAGGTCCATGGAAAGGTGATCTGTTGCAGAGGTTGCCACAGGTAATTTATTCTAGTCCCAAGTTTGCCATTTACTTTCTCCCCTCCAACCGCTTGCGCTGACAGGATTTATTCCAACAATGGTGTCATTATGCGCAAAGCCTGGCAATGAGCTATGATCCAGACCACCAGGATTCGGTCTCGGTCACAGACATAAAAAGCTCTCAACAGACCGCGTCTGTTGCTTTTATTCAAAACTGGGAAGCAGTTTTAATTAAATATCTGGTTCTCCATTCCTGTTCTTTATGAAGAAAAAAGAAAAATAGAAAAAAATGTTTAGTTGAGTCTACTGACGGCAACAAGAGAGATTAAATAATGTGAGTTGTGAGCGAGAACCAGGCTGTACTCTGGCTCCCAATCCTCTGACAACCTGTCACCTCGCAGCGCTGCATTTAGCTCCGTCAGTTCAGACATGCAGTGTGTCCTTTCTACATTTAATAAATCATTGTGTGTGTGTGCACAAGGAATGCGATTGAGGAAAAAAAAAATGTACTTGTTTATGTGGCGTGATGTCAAAACGAACTGCTGTCATTGCTAACAAGTGTAGAGACCTGGATATGACAAAGTGTGCACGCCAAGGTGACGAGGTCTCGGGGGATTGTTTATTGAGGTACAGTTGACGGCATCACTTCCTGTGGGTGGTGGATGATTGACGGTAAACAGCGTAATGTGATATTGGCATGTATTCATGTGAAAATAAGCAACTGACTGCATCCATTTGTCCAACAGCATATAATGTATGATGCGACATTGATATCCACAATTTGTGACCAATCATCCACTTTTGTCAAATTTCCTATTTTGTAGTTTCTAGTATTTGCTGATATCTGATAGTATGGACATATTTCCACAGCAAAAGGAGATAAAACTCTCAGGATGATCAAACGGCTTGTGAACAAGCCAAAAGAAAATCCTGAATCACATTATTTGGAACTGAAAAAGGAAATTGATTACAACCAAATTGACAGTAATAACCTCATTACACAGATACAAAAACCTGTGCCCGTACTGAATGTGATTGATCAAAGATGAACAAGTGGAGGTTAAATGCAATAGACAATTGGTTTCTACAACAAATGAGCTGCAAGGAACAGTTTATGTGTTCAAAGATGTGCAGCATCTGATCCTACACAGTAGATCCTACACAATAGGACGCTGCAGACTGCACAAGTACGTCCTGGTAGAGAATTCATTTTAAAGTCTTCCCAACAGTAGAATTGTTTAGAGCAGTAGAAGTCCTAAAATCATAAGGTCAAAACATTAGGGGTCGAAGTTTAATTACATTGAACTTTTGCAACAGAGCAGAGGTTTTGCTTAATGTATTTTTACAGTTTGCCAAAGTCTGTCTGTGGGTTTGAAAGCTGCATAATTGTCTGAATACACTTTTTTTGCTCTGATCTCTCTTTAGCAATGTCGTCATCTTCCCACATCTCATCCATTCACTCGGTGAGTACAATTTTATTGTAACCAACAGGAACCATGGCCAAACACTACAGACTGGAATAATCCTAAATATCCCAAATTCAAATATTATCTGCAAATAATAATGTGATTATCTTGTGTCTCTCCCTGTTTGCTTTGGTCATGCCAATGTAAATATACACGAATAAAAAGATACATGAAAATACCATATAAATCAAATCAAACCTTTTCAACAAACCATATAAACAACTTCCTAAAGTTATGAAGACTTTACAAATACTAGACAAATATGTGTTAAACTACACTGTCCGAAGCCCGACTGAAAACGGACAACCAGGATGAACTGGATGCCAGAAACACTCAATACTCCAGCAAGAATAATTGATATATTTTTACAACAGAAACTCCCGAGAAGATACTAACAGTGTGTGAAGATGCCGTAAGCCGCAAACTGATTCTGTGATGAGCTCAAAGCAACAATATCATGGATGGGGATAAGAAAACGCTGCGTTATTGTGCGTTTTTAGTTTCTTGCAGAGCTTTAACTTCATTGTGTTTTTTCTCTCTGTGTATTTGACATATTTTGCAAATATACTGTAACTTGAGACTTTTTCCAACTTACCACATTTTCTGACTTAAATAAAATAAATCTGCTGGAATATCTTTCTCCGATCTGCTGAGGATACTTTGGCAGTAAAGTAAGCAAACCTACTTGCGTCATTACTCTGTCTGTTGTGCGGTTTTATCCCCTGCGAGTGAGCTGGTAAATTAATAATAGCTTCATAGGTAAAAATGGGATGCAGTCATACAACGTGTACCCTTTGTGAATCATCACGACTGAAGTTTGTCCGGGTCTTTGCAGCAAAGTCGGTCACATTCTGGTAGAAATTATCCTTTGAAATTTCCTGTGAAGGAAAGTAGAATGATCTTTTAAAGAAGGGCCTCTTTGTCACTGCAGCCGACCGCTAATGGACTGTGTCTCTGTAAGCTGAGATCAGCAGTTAACCTTATGACTGTAAAGTGTGGCTGACTTCTCTATCTCCCACCATAACTCTAAGTGGAAACATGGAGGCGATGCACGGGCTGTCAAATGTGATAACGTACATCGTGTCAGTGCAGAGAAAATGAGCCTTTATGGAACACAAAAGCAAACGGGACATTAAAGATGGCTCGGAAGAAAAAGGAAAGAGATTATAAAAGGAAGAGGTTCATACATTTTCATCGCTTGTGCATCGCTTGTCAACAAAGTAGAGACGCTCTGATTACAACACAGAGGAAAGGGACTCAAGGAGACATTGCTTTACATAGTAAATGGTTGCTTGCTAAATAAATGCTGTTGTATAAGGAGAGAGAACCTAAAGTAACAAACAATTTGGGAAAAAAAGAACCCAAGCTCTCATTATTATTCTTTTATACATACGTTTATTAAAACACCATTGGCCTCCAACAAGTAAAGAGTGTACATAATAATGATGGTGGTAATAATAACCATAATAATGATAAACTGAATATATATCAGAAAAGTATTTTATTTTTGTGTGTTATAGTATTTCTGCTTTTTCTTTTTGTCAATTCTTCAGTGCGCCGTTCTCTGGACTCTCTGCATTATCTGACTTCAAGGCTTCAGCTAGTTTTAGAGGAATGTACAATACAGAAAACAATTCTATTTTTCTGACATCACTACATACTTTGTCACATTTCCTATTCAACCCTTCACATCCGTTCCAAAACGATTTGGAATAACCCAAACCTCCTTTGCTGAACACAAACAAATGCTCCATACGGCATCGCGTGGGTGCACGTAGAGAGACACAATAAAACACACACACACGCGCTCAGACGCCTGCAGCGGGAGGTACAGTGCTGAGCGCTGGTGCCAAACGCAGAAGGAGAAGCATTCGTCTGTCACCGACCTCGCTCCAGCACGTCACAGACCCGTGACGGACCCTTGTCACTCTCCATCAGAGCTCCGCCTCGAGTGGTTCGTCCTTTGGTGCTGGAATTCAAAGGAAATGCCACATATGCCACTGTTGAAAAAGAGACCCTTTTAAAAAAACAAAATAAAATACAAGATGTTCACCATGGAGGGGACTAACTGTCCGTTTTACACAACATAATGTCACCGGGCTTTGCACTGTGGAGATTGCCTCTAATAAAGACTGAACTTTTGAAACAATTAAAAACACAACGGCACGATAAAAACCTTTGACTTTGTTTCAAAGTCTGCGCGCTGCACTCAGAGTCAAGTGTAGGTTTACAGTATGTTCTGACAGGCAGGTGATGCTGAAAATCTCTTTTACGGTTTCACAGCAGTTTGTGTGGGCTCGACAAGTGCAGAATATCGTCCTGTCATGCAGCTGATTTCTCCATCCGCCTCCAGTTCTGCAGCTTTCATTAAAAAAAAAGCAGTCCCTTCCTAACGCCGCTCAGTCCACCGCTGGCGGTCATGTGTCGATGACGTCCTGCACCGGCGAGGGTTCGTGTGGCAAACTGGTGGCGTTGGGCAGCGGCTGCGTGTGGCTGTTCTGCTGCAGCTCTAGCGCCATGGCGTTCTGCGGGTGCGGGAACTCCTTCACCTGCCTCCGGTACTCCAGGAAGGTGGACGCCTTGGTGGCGATGGCCACCACGTTCTTCCCCACGAATATGGTGGAAACGCGGCTGTCCTGAAACAGCACCATGTTCACACCTCGTATGAGGATGGTCACCACGTTGATGGTGACCAGGCTCAGAACCGGGTACAGCATCATCTTCTGCGGCGACATGTGCTCCCCCTGCATGCTGATCTCACTGAGCGACACGCAGGGCAGGATGAGCAGCAGAATGTAGCAGTAGAAGAACATCAGGCCCTCGGCCCAGATGGGCAGGCCCGTCCGCTGGGGCTCCCACAGGTTGGCTTGGATATCCAGCAGGTCCAGCAGGTCCAGAGCCACCCAGAATAGACGGCTCCTCATGTCTTCCTTCTTCCGGAAAGTTCTCACGTATTCCATACTGTCCAAAGCCACGAGCACCAAGTACAAGCCCGGCACACACACCGATAGCAACAACGTCAAAGCCTTCCTCGCCACCGTCTCTAAACTCTTCTTGTCTGCCTTGCAATTCTGGAAGACAAAGTAGAGCTTAATCTCCAGGACGAAGATGTACAGAAACCAAAGTATCATTGCGTAGCCTCGGCGGGCGGTGCGCACCTCGGCGCCCACCCACACCGCCACGTATCGCAGCACGATGAGGAAGCACACGTCCCCCACCAGCACTATGATGCACACGCCGATCTTCCTGGGACCTTGGTTCTGCTCCACCAGGTAGGCGTCCATGAAGGCCATGCTGGTCATGATGACGATGGTGGTCAGGCACACGTGGCGTTTGTCTGGGGGTGGCAACACCATGGCGAGGGCACCGTCTGCTTGCTCTACGTTTCAGTTCCCCGCTTTGAAGAGCAAAGAGAGTCCAGAAGGTAAACACTCTCCCCGTGTCCACTCCAAACCTCTACAGATGTATTGAAATATATTCGAGGTGGTCCGACGTCCCGGTGTGCAGAGGAGCAAATGTCTGACTTGTGTGTCTGATACCAGAGCGGCACTATAATCGCTGCGCTAACAGTCCGTGGAGGAGGACGGTTACTGCACAGTGCAAGCAGAGCAGCGCGTGAGTCAGTGGGGAGATGCTGGCTGCTGATTGCTCTCAGACCAAGGCAAAACAGGAAACTTCACCTCATTACTCAACGCACTTCCATTGATCCGCCTCTACCCCCCCCCGAGCAGCAGCTAGAACCACCGGCTCTACAGCAGCTGACACGCCATGACTGCCAGTCGTCCACGCACAATACTCTTAGCGCTGGCTCGGTAATATATGCACGTGCGAAGGGAATCCGGAGCGCGGTGCAGCGGTGTGGAAATGTTTATGGACGGGTTTATTTCTGTGTGAGACGGCGGTTGTATGGGCGCGCGTGCTGCAGCTGGGCGTGCGCGAGGGATTCCTCTTCGAATGCTCCCGCAGACGGTGGTGCAGTGTGTGTGGCTCCGTGCAATCCTGCAGTGTGCGCGGGGGGAAACGGAGGAGAGGAGTCTGCAGTGGCCAGAGGCCCCCAGTCGCCATAAATCACACAGACAGTAGGTCAACGGCCCATGAGGCCTAGCGTCCGACGCCAGCTTCCCTGGGGGGAGGCTCTTACGTCGGTTTGAAGATCCATCCCGCCCTTCTCCTCTTGCCACGTGCCAGCCTCTCCACTGCCTAGAAGGAGACATGAAGAGGGGGGGGGGGGGCAGAGGAGAAGGAGAAAGAAACCGGTCAGCACTGCAGGGCCACATAACACAGTTTTCATTGCAAACGTGCAAACGAGTATTTCTTGTGATGTCATTACCTCTCTATTGTCTGTGAAGTGCCACGATGCATCTAAATAGCCAACGTGCTTTGATTGTTATTACGGTGAGTGTATTTTTGGGACCATAATACGCAGTTGATTCATTTGGGAGTTAAATGAAGTCCCATATTGTGGCTAACTAACTGCTCAGCACCGCTTGCATATTACTTGGCATTGCCTGTTTTTCTTAGGCGAGGGTAAATGGGGAAAAACGATGACAGGGAGCTCATCTCCTGCACGTTTGAGTCACTGTAGAGCACTATTTCTACACTGTGATTGCAATGTGTATACAGTAGACCATTTCCTGGGGTATTGTTAGGTTGTGTTTTTCATGCAGTCAGAAAATCATCACACAGTAAACAAAACATTTGAGCGGTCTAAAAACATGATATGATTACATTCCCCCCAATCAATTCAAGCTCTATTTACAGTTTATTTATATATTTTTTGGATTGTGTTTCAAGGTGCTTCTGTTTTGACCTGTTTAACATTCCAGCTGATGTGTGTGGAAGCATGTGGCGCGCGGGAGGGGGGCGACTCATCAACAGTGCAGTCGGACGTTTACGGCACTTTCAAAAAGAGAAACTGTGCAGATGTCGAGCGTTTAACCCGCCAGCGGGGGGCGGGAGGCGGGAGGGCCCACCGTGTGCGCCGGCCTCGACCATAAATTACGCAGCACGTCTAAGTTATTAGCAGAGATGGCAAACAAGGCTGGATAAAAAAAAAGCGAGGGAAATGTATTAATCGAGCAGACCCGTCTCCCTCGGTTGAGCTTCAGGAGAAACCAGAATGTGTCTGTTGCTCTGCTCATTTCTGTCTGCTCCTCCTGTCACTGGATTCTTCAAGCAGAACACAAATAAATCACATTTGTGTTTCTTGCAGCTGAGGTACGTTTCAAATCACGATGCGTATCATTACACCCAACTTGTTTGGCCACGAAATGTGACCATGCAACTGCTGTCTCCAATGTGGATGTCATTTTTTGAATGTCTCCTGCACATGACGCGCACGTATGCGCGCTTACACAAGCAGCGGAAAAGAGGAAGAACCTCGTCCTCTCACCCTTCACTTGTCAGTCAGTCAGATACAAATTATCTATATATCTAATTATCTGCACAGGTTACACCAGACTGGTTGGTTTGTTACAAGTCATTCCAGTATTTCTCAATGTGACCTAAAGGACATGACAACTTCAGAGGCTTCAGTGTGTATGAACATAAAATATTGATCTGCAATGCGGTCTCCAGTGACTTATCATTGCTTTCCCATAAAGATATGTGATCCACAAGAGACAGAATGACAGGGAAGCCCCCTTTGCTATCAACTGCAAGTCAGTGATGTCAGTATGAACAGAGGACAAAGCTCGATGCTCTGGTCACTCACACATCAGCTCAGAAAAATCCTTTCTAACCTTTTAGTGATATCGATTGAATTTTTTTAAAACGCCAATCTAGAAAGGAATTACAAACGCTTCCCTCACCACGTTTACATCTTTAAAAATATGTATCCTTTCATCAAAGGCTTCTATTTCACGTAGATTTGGGCCGACTCAGCTCTTGGTATGAGAGTTTTAAGTATGTGATAAATAAACATGAGTTTGTTTTCTGCTGGGCCATTTGAAATCACCAAAGCAAAATAGGCTTCTGAGGCTTTTCAATGATTGCGGAGAGATTTTGTTTCATCTGAACCCTCCCCAGCCCCCCACCCTTCCCTCCATGAGGGGCATGAACTGTAAGTACACCCAGAAAGAATATAAAGAAAGAACACCACAGAACTGGAATGGATGCATTTTACATGTTCGAGCTGACGACGTCACAGATCAAAGGCTCAGTGTAAGACGAACATGACATTAGTGTAATGTTTAAAGCCCATTATGTAGAACAGTGCCTAAGTAAGAGATTAGATTCATTGGATGGTGATTAATTGACTGATTAGCAGCATGCTGCGGATCATTAACATGCTATAAGGCTGATCCCACATATAAAGGATGTTACATCATCATTTAAATGAAACTAATTATAAAAAAGGAGACTTCCAGATTGTTTCCCTAATTAACGGATTACAGCCGGCGTGACAATATGGGAGTGCTAAATTGGATGGTTTGAACCTCCCAGGAGTTATGGCTACAGCTGCAAAACATAGATCCTACGATGTCATGAGCACGATTAAGTGAACCAAGGACCCGATGAACTGTGGCAGTTATAGACAATTACTAATCCTTTCTCTCATATTTAAAAGTGAAATCTGCTCTGTTCAGCATCTATAATGAATTGCCCGAGTTTGAATATTAGCACTGTAGGAATAGGAAGAAAAAAAAGAAATTCCCATTGATTTTAGATTTGACAGCTGCGACGGCGATCATTTCTCATTAATTATGGTTCAAGGCCGCGTGGAGGGCTGTGAACTTGTCTTGGCAGTCGGGAGTCTATTACTGTAGCTGTGGTCAAGGTCATTATCTCTCTAAGCAGCCCCGAGTTTACTTGTCAGGCGGTTCTATTAACTGTTAGCCTCCCTCACTGGCTCGGGTCACGACACGGAGCAAAGGCCGGGGGGGCGGCGAGTGGCGTTCTGCTGCTTTGTACAGAAAAAGGTCCGTCGGGGTCACTGAACAAGAACAACGGGAAGAACAGTACTCTGAACACAGAACCATTCCGTGCTCCACAGTGTGAAAATGAAAGCTATGGGGCCGCGTGTTGTTAAAATAGAGCTTTTTCCAGGTTTCCTTTGAAGCCTTATCTTAATTACCTGTGTTGTTGCCATTGATGTTTGTGTTTTTTGACTCCCGACTCGGAGCTTAAGGACGGTAAAGCCTTACAAGCTTCGAGAAGCTTTTCTCTTAATACTGAGCTGCTCTGACACCTCGTACACCTCAACGCGAGCGCTTGTTTACAGCCCCGCACATCATTTCACCCGGCAACTGTGGCTGGCGTGCTCTTTTACCTGTAAGCTTCAAAGGGATTTGTATGCTTTCGGGAAGCCTCGCTGTCATGCATTAAATGCATCGCATTAACTCCCCGACTGTGCTTTCAAACCGCACACTTCTGCGCTCACTTCTGATGCCTGAACACCCCGAGGATGATCAAATGTTTGAGTCAATGTCAGCAACACTCGCCGCAGGACGCCGCCGGGTCTCCAGAGTGGCCCGTTTTGTTCGATATTTATGCCGGCTTGTCTTCATTAGGCGCAGTACGAGACCCATATGTCGTCTTGGCCGCGGGCCACCTTCATCATCCCAGCAGGTGCGCCGCGCCGTCCTTTGTGTTTGCAGTCGGCGCTCAGCTAGTTTTGGGGGAGGTGGCAGATTGCTTTGAATTGGCCCCGGCGCACAGAGTGCGGCTCTGCTCGGCTCGGGCTGAGCAGACGCTGTGTACGCGGCACACAGGAACACGGGGCGCACATGTGTGTGACAGCTCTGACACACACACACACACACACACACGCTGTCTTGGCCTTTTAAGGGCTCAAGACAGGAGGGCCTATCTGAAGGTCACGTCTTCCCCGTCCTGGCCGCGTCCTCTACAGCCACACACCGATCTCGTACATCCTGTGCGCGTTGTAACGTTGCACAGTGTCCAAGGCCCAAATGGATGTTACTGTGTTTGAAGATGTCAGCTTAATCCCCGCCGGTTGCATCGACTAATGTGCTCAGCACAATTCCCTTAACATGTTTAAAGCCACTGCACTCAGCTGCCCTCGTAGAGCTCGGCCTCGTCTGTGATTCATTCTCCACAGCGCGTACCTTCTGCACGGAATGGATCGGCGCCGCGTGAGCAAATTCTGAGCACGTATGTCTATCTTTTTGGCAGCTTTAGTTCCTTTTCCACCTATTTTGAGCACCTCCATTAGTCAGACCAAAGTACACAGGGTGTGCGTTCCTTGCTGCTATTTTTTCCTTGTTCATCGTCGCACAGTACGCTTGTAATGAGGTTTGCACTGGGTCACAATACTAGGAAACTAAGAGGAGGGGTTGTGTTTTGTATCAGTGGTAAGCTCATTTTTATCACCCATTATGGTTGACTACGGCTGATCCTCACTCTACTTTGCCTTGTCACACTGTGTGTGTGTGTGTGTGTGTGTGTGTGTGTGTGTGAGAGATAAGCTCCGGTTGTTCATTTCAGCACACAACTGTAACCAACCCGATCTGCATTTGGGCTTTTAAATAGCCGTTGGGTGTTGAACCAACGCCGTCAGAATCCGACATGCTGCACAGGACAAAGGGTGAGAAGCTGCTGCGTGGAGGTGGGGGCTCCTACAACAGCCATTGTACAGGCTTGCATGTGGAAAGCGTTCCTCCAACTTTGCCCTCAGCAGCAGAGAGCCGGGGCCTTTCCAACATGATAGACGTGTCTTTTTTTCTCAAACGGCAATCAAAGTGTATTCTTCATTCACAAAGCCGAGGGAGAGGATCAAAGGCACAGAGCCGGCAGTGAGTCATCCTCAAAGTGAAGAGCGGCCCTCTGACATCCCACCCGGCGGTGAGTCTCTGACACGAGGGGGGGGCAAGGACGACTAGCGGCCCAACTTCTACCCAAGAGACGAGGCACTCCTGCTGTTCAGGAAACTCAAGCTTTTCTGTCACCTTTTACAATCTGGAAGCTCTGTTTACTCTTTTAAACTTTGAGCCTTAATGGCAGAAATATTTTAAGATGATGCCGCTTTTGTCCAGCGGAGGTTCCCGCAGACAACTGTGGTGCGTAATACTGCAAATTGAAGTGTTTTTTTTTATCAATGGGCCATTGGCTCAGTTCCCATTGTGCTACCCCATTCTGCAATAGTGTGTTTTAACAGGCATTTCATTAATTAAAATGAAAATGGTCCAGATTGTCATTTTATAAGTGGTATTCTTTTCCATCTTTCGCCCAGCGAGCAG